TGATAACGAAAAGAGAGAAAATGGGTGCAAAAAGATGACGAGTTGATTGGGGGAGGTTTGCGAAAGGAGGAATGAGAGAAAAATAGGGGACGAAATGTACAATGCACGAGAGAGAGAGAGAGAGAGAGAGAGAATGAACGAGAGAAGGGGGGGGGGGTAAATGCTAAATGCGTGATAACGAAAAGATAGAAAATGGGTGCAAAAAGATGACGAGTTGATTGGGGGAGATTTGCGAAAGGAGGAATGAGAGAAAAATAGGGGACGAAATGTAGAATGCACGAGAGAGAGAGAGAGAAAAAAAAAGTAAGGGATGCGAACAGATGACAAAAAACGGAGTGGGGAGGTTTAAAAAATGATCGAGAGAAATTGGGGGGGGGGGTGATGAAATGCTAAATGTATAATTTAAAAAAACGGGAGAGGGGGAAGGGAGTAGGGAGTAGGGGAGGTTTAATAATGAATGAGATAAAAAGAAAAATGAAGAAACTAGAGAGATACGCGAGAAAGGATGCAAGAGGATGCTGAATGGAGTGGAGTGGAGGGGGGGGGGGGGGGGGGGGGGTAAGATAGAGAGAATGAGGGGAATGGGTTGCTAAATGAATAACGAACAATATAATGATTAACAAGAGTTTAAAGGTAATACAAAGTTTTTTTATGGGGTCATTAATTTGGTTCAAATGAACATTAATTGGAAGCGGTTGAAATAATAAACTCTTGATGTTGTATAGCTCCCTCTCAAGGTCAAGATATTAATTAAGCTATGAAACGATGTTTGACTAAAATTGACCGATTAGCTATTACCGTTTGGATATTATATATCACAACTACATATTCCGAGATGTTCATGGTCGCATCTACCATTGTAGGAGCCATTTGAAATTTATCAAAATTTACCGGGAGCACCGGTAATTTTTTATATTCAATTTTTCTCAAACGCAGAAGTATTTTAGGGGATAATTTTTCTGGTGCTTATACATCATAGGGGCATCCAAATAGGGGCATCCAAATATATCAAAAATGGTATAGAATCACTATACCCACCCAATTTTCAATATTTCCCCAAACTTTGTATTATCTTTAAGGGGGGTGCTAAATGTACAAAGAACAATATAGAGATTATAAATGAAAATTTGGGAGAAAGAGAGAGAGAGAGAGAGAGAGTGGGGTACAAATTGGCAAACAAGTGGTGCAAGAGAATGATAAATGGAGTGGGGGAAGTTGGTTAAAAAAAAGGGGGGAGAACAGAGGGGGAAAGGAGGGTAGCTACATTTTAAGTAACAAGAACAACAAAATAAAGACAAGTAGCCAAAAAAAGGAAAAAAACAATGTCATTTAATAGAAATAGCCCAGTCAAAAAAAATGAATCTTAGGGAGTAAACTAATTGCAAAAGAATTTATTGCACTGAAGTGCACTTCAAAATATTCCGCTAAACTCACTAAAACCTTCGGTAGATCTAAGAAGTTAGGAAAGACTTTAGTATTTAATTTTGCATAATATGCATATAGCTATTGTCATATTAGAATATCCATAGTTTCCCCATAAACTTCCACCCGAGTATCATACTTAAGGGATTTTAGTGCTTAAACTGATTTTTTTTTTCAATGTCAGTAAACACAATGACATTTTCATAATAATATAGATATGATTGTCCTGTTATGTAAATTATCATTCGCCAGGAAAAGAAATTTATTTGTTTTCATAATTTTTTATATCTGATTCAGTACCTAACAATTAATTCACATATTTCACATGTTAATAATATTGATAAATATGACGAATTTTTTTTTGAATGACTTTGAATAATATGCAAATAAATGTCGGTCATCAATGAATAAAGGTTTCACTTGTCCTTGAAATTTGACCTAAGTGTCCGATTGAAGCAAGGTTTTCAAGGTCATTGAACAAGGTGGACACATTCAAGAATCTAATTGCCGTTAATGTTTGCAGAATATACATATGAATACCATCAAATTTACAGCGAGCTGTGAATTTTCTAAAAATTATAATAGCTAATTTGCATATCATGCAAGTTTGACTACTTTCCACTACTTAGAATTTCCTAAATTGTCCCAATTTCCCTATGTTGTTAGGATTATTTTAAAGTGGGTTGCTGTAAAATAAATTCTTTTGCAATTAGTTTTGGGTATGCCTAAATTCCTTATTTTGACTAGACTAAAATCCATAGACACAAAAATAGTGGATAGAATCATTTTTCACAAGTATAGGACCTGACTTATAAACATATTATCATCCACAAAAGTGACAAAGGTAAAATGAATGAGTTCGCTAAGATTCATAATACCATGTATGTTATACTCTTATTTAAACATATAGCAATTTTGTAGAGCGATGCACATAAATATACACATACTTATATGTTCATGCTGTATTGCAAAAATATTTCAAAACATTAAACAAATTACATTATTCATCGCCCAAATTATTTTAGAAATCGGACGGCGTCATATTTGCAATCAATGCTGAAAATTGTTGTTTTTCTCTACTCCTTGAATTTTGGGTTGAACCTTTTTTTACAGTTGTGCATTTACTTCCACGAAGAGGGAAGGATAGAAATAGTTGCAAAATATTTTTTTAAATCTCGAATCTCATTAGATTTTCAAGTGAATAGTCCATCTACTGATTTGAAAGTGCAATCAATCTCACTTTTAAAGAGATTGGGTAACTTTGTCTCAGATTCTGAAACAAAATCCTGGATTTTAATAGCTCATGCTACAATGATAATTATAAACCTTTAGGTCATTCAGGAACCCCGTGAATTCACAAGCCGATCGCCTGTCTGATTATCAAGATATTTATGATTGGAAATCGCAATCGAATTTTGCGTTTCCTAATGGTTTTCATATATTTTTTTCTTTTTTTGAGGCACTTCATGATCATTTTGAAGCGCAACTTTTTTTTAGGGCTTCAATTTTACACCATGTCACAGACATTGATAACACGTAGGGCCATGAATCTCAGATTTTACATTGTTAAACGATCCCTTTAAGCCTATGCCATGTATGCATGCTTCAGTGCATCAACCTACAAGAAATAGTTATTCTAATCGTAAAACTTAAAGGAGCTACACAAAGAAAATTTACTAACAACTGATAATTAGAACAAATTACATATGGATGGGTAACGTTTCATAAAAACATAAAGTTTACCAACGTCCCATTGACATGGATGTCGGTAAATTTCTACTTAAAGAGAAGGTTGAGTTCTGGGGAGAGGTGAAAATAATTTGTTAGCGTTTTCATTGTTATCATGCAAGTGTGGAAGAACATCAGAGATAAAAATGTTCCCTGAAAAGCATGCTTTTCAAATACCTTTTATATTCTAAAACTGACATGGCTTTGTAACAGTTTAAAAAATGTGGGCCTCGTTTTTCATGCCACTTGTTTGTGTAGTCCCATTGAAAAATCTTTCTGTGCACAGTGCTTGTTACTTTTACCAAGACTGGGCCAAATTTTTTATGATTTTGATAATTCCAAAACCTTGCAGTACACACCAATACTTATATGCTAGATGATCAACTTTTTCTGATTGATCCCACACGCCGTTTCTTTCACAATGCAATCGCATGATTAGAATTCAACTTTCTCATTAAGACAGTTTCACGGAAAATTTGCAACTTAGTTATGACTTTGTGATGCCGTTCCCTTGCATGTTTAGATCGTTATTGTCAATATTAAGTTGTATCCCCTTCGAAATGACCTCCTATTTCATTTACATAGTTTTTACATGACTTCTTTTTAGAAATGTACGTATTTAACAGAGAAAACATTTACCTGATAGTAGTATACAAAAATGTGTTACTGTCAATAAAACAGTCAAGGCTCATGTTTATGGGAGACAGTGGCAATTTATATCATCAATTATGAGCATGATAAAAGAAAAAAAAGGTAAATTTATGAAAAAGCTATATAGTGAGGGAACGAAGTCACGAACAGACGACTGCATCAGTTGCCAATTTGTCAACTGATTTTCATTTTGTCCATCAATGTTCATGTCTCTAAAAGGTGCGTTAGTTTCTTATTAGTTGTCTGACTTTACTCGACCTTGTTAGGCTTGAATCGAATTTATTTTCCACTTCTATTGAAAATATTTTTTTATAGGACCGGTTAGAAAAGTAGAAGTTGGATGAAAAAATACTAAAGGAGTCATTAAAACGTTCTTGCCAGCCAAAAACTTATTTTGAAGAATATAGGCCTCTTTCTACAACAGTCATGCTAGATAAAAGCAAACCCTGGCTCTATATGGGGCGAGAGACCTGAGATTCTTTACCATTATTTAAACTGTGCAGTTATCATACAACACTGAAAATTCGAACGTATACAGATAAATATAACACTTACAGTCAAAGTCAAATGACCATTGACATTGCTTGAAAAACATTAAACAACAAAACATTACACATATTACCACTTTCAACGTTGTGCTAAGCATTATTTGATTGTGAATTTCAATCATCTGAAAGTTTAATTTGTCATTATTAATGATGACTAATGGCATGTTGAAAAAACAGATTACAGAATACCGGTATAATTTTTGACTTTTTAAAAGTTTGTCCGTCTGTTGGATGGTTATCCTAGAATATAAGTCAATCAATAGTGGGCAAGTCCAAGCATATTGTTGTCCCATTAACAAACATAAAGATTTACCTATATCTGATGACTGTATTAAGTCTCTTCTGGTTCAGACAAAGCTTTTGTTTTTCCCATAGAAATCATACCAGTATTCGGATTTGAAATACTTCATTGCCAAGTTCACACATTTAATAGGTGACACACTAGGTTATTATAATTACCCCTTAGGTTGATTTTTCGAAAGTACATTGTAGTTGCTATTGTGTTTATATCTGACTATTTTATTAATAGCTAATTAGAGCTTAGATCAGACCTAATGGCTCAAATTCACAAAGGAGGTATGTCGACAAACCTAGGTTTATGTGCGTCATTATGACGCGTTTTAAATCTTTGTTTTGTAAAAACGCGTCGAAACGAGTCCTTATGACGCACATAAACCTAGGTGTGTCGACAAACCTCCTTCGTGAATTCGGGCCATGGGGCCATAATGTAGGAAAATTATACACGTTGGGTCAATGTGGTTCAGAACACCAATACTTAGTATCGTATGGGACAACAAAATTTATTTAGTGACCATATACCTTGGACTTTCCCTGATAACCAGCGGCGTATCCATATACGAACAGGAGACAGAATCTTTCCTTGTCGGGAAGCCTGATAGAATTATCTGGACTGCATAAATTTGAATGAGTAAAATCTTAGACAATAACAAGGGTCCACCATTACAGGAAAAGCCACCACGATCTATCGCCGCCCGACTCCGCATCGGCGAGATTTCTAACCACGATACTCGCATATCGAAGTCGGCCGCCACTCTCCCCGATGATATACTGGCCCGGATACTGGCTTGCATATCGACGATCGACCGCGTCGACCTGACGCCACCTCCTAGTCCAGCTCAACCGCTGACCTGACCGCTTGGGTGCTGGCGTCGTCGTCCTCGATATTCGTGAACCGAAGCCGGCCACCCCTTTCCCCGATGATGTAGCCTACTGGCTTGTATTTTGACGAACGACGCCGACGTCGGAACTTGTCCCGTCGTGATTGGCGGTGATGCTGAGTCTTCCCTGCAGTGGTCCGTCCAGTCCACCGCCACCTCCTAGTCCAGCTCAACCGCTGATCTGACTGCTTGGGTGCTGGCGTCGTCGTCCTTGATATTCGTGAACCGAAGTCGGCCGCCCCTCTCCCCGATGATATAATGGCTTGTATTTCGACGATCGACGCCGACGTCGAAACTTGTCCCGTCGTGACTGGCGGGGATGCTGAGTCCTCCCTGCAGCAGCGGTCCATCCAGTCCAATGCTGACCTGACCACTTGGCTGCTAGAGTGGTCGTCTTTGGATATCACCCACTCCCATTTGTGACTAAGGAGCTCTTGAGAGGGCTGTGTCGATACCGGAGTCTTGGGCGACAGCCGGGAGAGGAAAAGAAAAGAAAACACAGTGAACAAAATAATACCCTTCTATGTCATTCCGTAACAAACCTGTATGAAATTCAATATTATCTTCATAAATGTAATGAATGTTGTGAAGTATCTAATATTTGTTTATAATTTGTCCATTTTTATTGAATGTCTTTATTTTTTAAAAATCAAAATTCTCTGGAGTTCCATAACTCTCGGAATTAAGAAACAGAAACACTGAATTCTATGGGTCGGGTAGAGCAAGGTCTGGTCGCTATTCATAATGTGAGATGAGGGTCGCTATTCATAATTCACATTGACGGTCATTACTTGTAAGGACCGCTATTCATAATACGAAATAAGGGTTTCTATTCATAAAACGAGAAGAGGGTCGCTTTTTATAATACGAAATGAGGGTCGCTATTCATAATAGGAGTAGAGGGTCGCTATTCAAAATACGAGATGAGGACCGCTATTCATAATACGAGAATAGGGTTGCTATTCATAACACGAAATGAGGGTCGCTATTCATATCACGAAATGAGCAATAAACAAAATGCTTATAACAAAGAGAGATATTGGATTGAGGACGATCCAACTGCTATGGCGTAGATGTTGGGGGCGAATATGGCCCTGAATATTTGTCTCTTTTTAAAGTAGTTATTTTTTACCTCTTTATCTTTGGTGATTGTATAGAGACATCTCCCGCTCCTGTGGTGACGAAAAAAAGAAGGAAAACCAAAGAGATATCAGCTTGTATCTCTTTGGTAAAACACAAACACATATAATCCTACCGTAATTTGTCCTCCTTGTGAGAAATCTTACCCCACCATCCTGCTCCCGACTGATCTTATCCAGGCTACGCCACTGAGACATTAAGTAGACCAAGCAGGCCCATTATCATAGTTATTTAAGGAATTAGTTTGCTATTTCAGAAACTAGTAATTGTTTATACGACAATAAGGATTTTGTAGAAAATAGCTTATAGTAAAAATACAAAATAAAATACGATAAAGGTAACAAAACAAACGAAGAGTAAAGCTGACGTGAGTTGTCATGAAACACAGTGGCGTAATGAGCAAAAACTTTGGGGGTCAGAGTCAGACCAAAATCCGCATCACCACCAAATAGCATAATGCAGGGCAGTGGAGCGTCTTCTAAAATAAGGGAGGGGGCATAAACCAAAAAGGGGCACCTACAAAGGGAAACATAAAAAAAAACATACCACATTTTTAGACATTGGTTTATAGTCCTACATCATCACGATTGTGATTACACTACCAGGGATGAATTCAATGTTTTTTACGTTGTACAAGATACTGCTTAATAAAGCAATTGAATATTAAGCCCAATCTAATGAAGAAAGACTTGAAAGTCCTTTTATAAGTAACTTAATTATAACATCTATAAATGTGAACGAGCGCAGCGAGCAAGCTCTAAGGAAAACTAAAGAAAAAGGGGCTCTAAGTCGCCCTGAATAAGGGGTGCATGCTATGAAGAAAGGAAAAGTAGGCACTTATCAAAAGGGAAAAGACAGTTATTAAAAAAAGGAAAGCTGCTCGTGTCAAAGTAAAAAGGATTATTAGCAGAGGTGAAAATGGCCCTTCTGGCACCTGAAAAGGGACACTCAACAGAAATGAAAAAAGCACTTGTAAGAATGGAAATAGGGAATCTGTTGAAGGAAAAGGGAATCTATCAGATATTATAGGGGCATTTATCAGATCTTAAGAGGGGCATTTCGGAAAGGGAGAGAGGTTAATATAAAAAAGGAAAAGGGGCACTTATCCGAAGGAAACATGGTACTTTTTATTAGAAAGGAATAGGGTCACGTGTAGAACTCATAAAAGAGGTACTTATCAGAGGTGAAAAGTAACAGATACAAGAAAAGGAAGGGGTTTTTTTTATACGAAAAGACGTACAAACAATAGGCAGCAAAATTCATTAGAGAGCCTCCGCTCTGGAAGGGACCTACCCAGAATGAGATTCGTTTTTTTATTTAAATTATTCTAATTAATAAAAATCGAGTGAACTTTTAAGGGTTACTGCCCCTTCCGCGTCTGTTATCTAGCCAGTGCGGTTATCTAGCCAATGCGGGACTTCTGGCCCTGGAGATGTCTTCTCCGTGCTCGGGTGGTGCCCCCACAGACTAAGCCAGTTTGTTGCCCGATCTAGGCAGTCACATTCCTTAGGGAGCCTCCGTTCTGGAAGGACCCCAAATGAGATTCGTTTTTGAAATAATTATTTTAATTAATACAATTCGAGTGAACTTTTTAAGGGTACTGCCCCTTTCGCGTCTGTTATCTAGCCAGTGCGGGTCTTCTGGCAATTGAAATCTCTTCTCCGTACTCGGGAGATGCCCCCAAATTCCTTTTGGAGCCTCCGTTCTCGAGGGACCCTGAATGAGATTCTTTTTTTAATTTATTTAATTATTTTGATTAATAAAATTCGAGTGAACTTCTTAAAGGCACTGCCCCTTTCGCGTCTGTTATTTTGCCAGTGCGGGTCTTCTGGCCCTGGAAATTTCTTCTCCGTGCTAGGGGGCAGGGGTGCCCCCCTCCCACATCCTATGCCAGGTTGTCGCCCGAGCTAGGAAGCCAGATTCCTTTAATAGGGAGCCTCCGTTCTGGAGGGACCCCGGGTGAGAATCGTTTTTTTTTAAATTATTTTTATTAATAAAATTCGAGTGAACTTTTTAAGGGTTACTGCCCCTTCCGCGTCTGTTATCTAGCCAGTGCTGGTCTTCTGTCCCTGGAAATCTCTTCTCCGTGCTCGGGGGGCAGGGGGGTGCCCCCGACAGCCTGAGCCAGGTTGTGGACCGAGCGAGGCAGCCAAATTCCTTAGGAAGCCTACGTTCTGGAGGGACCCCGGGTGAGATTCGTTTTTTTAATTTAATTATTTTAATTTATAAAAATTCTAGTTTACTTTTAAGGGGTACTGCTCCTGCTGCGTCTGTTATCTAGCCAGTGCGGGTCTTCTGGCCCTGCAATTTTTCGCTCCATGCTCGGGGGATGCCCCCACAGCCTGAGCCAGGTTGTTGCCCGATCTAGGCAGCCAAATACCTTAGGGAGCCTCCGTTCTGGAGGGACCCCGAGTGAGATTTTTTTTTTTTCTTTAATTATTTTAATTAATAAAATTCAAGTGAACTTCACAAAGGCACTGCCCCTTTCGCGTCTGTTATTTTGCCAGTGCGGGTCTTCTGTCCCTGGAAATTTCTTCTCCGTGCTAGGGGGCAGGGGGTGCCCCCCCCCCACATCCTATGCCAGGTTGTCGCCCGAGCTAGGAAGCCAGATTCCTTAGGGAGCCTCCGTTCTGGAGGGACCCCGGGTGAGAATCGTTTTTTTTTTAATTATTTTTATTAATAAAATTCGAGTGAAATTTTAAAGGGTTACTGCCCCTTCCGCGTCTGTTATCTAGCCAGTGCTGGTCTTCTGTCCCTGGAAATCTTTCTCCGTGCTCGGGGGCAGGGGGTGCCCCCCACAGCCTGAGCCAGGTTGTGGCCCGATCTAGGCAGCCACATTCCTTAGGGAGCCTCCATTCTGGAGGGCCCCGAGAGAGATTCGATCTGTTATTTGGTTATTTTAATAAATACAATTCGAGTGATATTTTAAGGGTACTGCCCCTTCCGCGTCTGTTATTTAGCTAGTGCGTGTCTTCTGGCAATGGAAATATCTTCTCCATGCTCAGGCTAAGCCAGATTGTGGCCTGATCTACGCAGCCACATTCCTTAGGCAGCCTCCGTTCTGGAGTGACCCCGAGTGAGATTCGTTTTGTTAATTGGTGATTTTAATTAATAAAATTCGAATGATATTTTTAAGGGTACTGCCCCTTTCGCGTCTGTTATCTAGCCAGTGCGGGTCTTCTTGCAATGGAAATCTATTATACGTGCTTAGGCTAAGCAAGATTGTGGCCCGATCTAGGCAGCCACATTTCTTGGGCAGCCTCCGTTCTGGAGTGACCCCGAGAGAGATTCATTTTTTTATTAAATTAATACAATTCGAAGTGAACTTTTTTATGGGTACTGCCCCTTTCGCGTCTGTAATCTAGCCAGTGTTGGTCTTCTGTCCCTGGAAATCTCTACTCCATGCTCGGGGGCAGGGGGGGGGGGGGGGTGCCCCCACAGCCTAACCCAGGTTGTGGACCGAGCGAGGCATCCATATTCCTTAGGAAGCCTACGTTCTGGAGGGACCCCGGGTGAGATTCATTTTTTTAATTTAATTATTTTAATTTATAAAAATTCTAGTTTACTTTTAAGGGGTACTGCTCCTGCTGCGTCTGTTATCTAGCCAGTGCGGGTCTTCTGGCCCTGCAATTTTTTGCTCCATGCTCGGGGGATGCCCCCACAGCCTGAGCCAGGTTTTTGCCCGATCTAGGCAGCCAAATACCTTAGGGAGCCGCCGTTCTGGAGGGACCTCTACTACTACGAGTGAGATTCTTTTTTTTTTCTTTAATTATTTTAAATTTTAAGGGTACTGCCCCTTTCGCGTTTGTTATCTAGCCAGTGCGGGTCTTCTGGCCCTGGAAATCTCTTCTCCGTGCTCAGGGGATGCCCCCCCCACAGCCTAAGCCAGGTTGTTGCCCAATCTCTGCAGCCACATTCCTTAGGGAGCCTCCGTTCTGGAGGGACCCCGAGTGAGATTCGTTTTTTTCTTTAATTATTTTAATTAATAAAATTCGAGTGAACTTCTTAAGGGTACTGCCCCTTTCGCGTCTGTTATCTAACCAGTGCGGGTCTTCTGGCCCTGGAAATCTCTCCTCCGTGCTCGGGGGTGGGGGGGGGGGGGAGTGCCCCCACAGTCTAAGACTGGTTGTGGCCCGATTTAGGCAGCCACATTCTTTATGGAGCCTCCGTTCTGGAGGGACCCCGAGTGAGATTCGTTTTGTTTTTTAATTATTTTAATAAAATAAATTCGAAGTGAACTTTTTAGGCTTACTGTCACTTCCGCGTCTGTTATCTAGCCAGTGCGGGTCTTCTGGCCCTGGAAATCTCTACTCCGTGCTCGGGGTGGGGGGGGGGGGGGGAGGGGAGTGCCCCCACAGTCTAAGCCAGGTTGTGGCCCGATTTAGGCAGCCACATTCTTTATGGAGCCTCCGTTATGGAGCGACCAGAGAGAGATTCGTTTTGTTATTGAATTATTTTAATTAATAAAATTCGCGTGAACTTTTTACGGGGTGCCCCCCACAGCCTAATCCAGTTTCAGGTCCGTTCTAGGCACCACATTCTTTAGTGAGCCTTCGTTCTGGAGGGACCCGAAAGAAATTAGTTTTGTTATTTAATTCACTTTTCAGGGGTACTGCTCTTTCTGCATCCGTTTACTAGCCAGTTCGAGTCTTCTGGCCCTAGAATTTTTTCTCTGTGCTCGGGGGATGCACCCAGCCTATGCCAGTTTGTTGCCCGATCTAGGCAGCCAAATACTAGTCTGCACGCCCAGACCCTAATTTGACATTTATTAAAAAAAATCATTGTGCCTTGAGAGAAGTCTAGCCTAGCTACCTACTGGTTGTGTCAGGAGCAGCTACAGTACATGGCCTATGGTAGTCTTATAGTGCAGACTCACTTTTACGACTGACCAGGGTTTGTGCTTGCAGACTAGCCAAATACCTTAGGGAGCCTCCGTTCTGGAGGAACTCCGAGTGAGATTCGTTTTTTATATACTTATTTTAATAAAATAAATTCGGAGTGAACTTTTTAGGAGCATTGCCCCTTCCGCGTCTGTAATCTAGCCAGTGGGGGTCTTCTAGCCCTGAACTTTTTTCTCCGTGCTCAGGAGATGGCCCCACAGCCAAAGCCAGGTTGTAGCCCGATCTAGGCAACCACATTCTTTATGGAGTCTCCGTTCTGGAGGGACCAGAGAGAGATTCGTTTTGTTATTTAATTATTTTGATTAATAAAATTCGAGTGAACATTTAAGGGGATGCCCCCCACAGCCTAAGCCAGTTTCAGGTCCGATCTAGGCAGCTACATTCTTTAGTGAGCCTTTGTTCTAGAGGGACCCGAGAGAAATTCGTTTTGTTATTTAATTTTTTTAATTAATAAAATTCGAGTTAACTTTTAAGGGGTACTGCTCTTTCTGCGTCCGTTTACTAGCCAGTGCGAGTCTTCTGGCCCTGGAAATTTCTTCTCCGTGCTGGGGGGCAGGGGGTGCCCCCCACATAATATGCCAGGTTGTCGCCCGGGCTTAGAAGCCAGATTCCTTAGGGAGCCTCCGTTCTCGAGGGACCCCGAATGAGATTCTTTTTTGTATTTATTTAATTATTTTAATTAATAAAATTCGAGTGAACTTCTCAATGGTACTGACCCTTTTGCGCCTGTTATCTAGCCAGTGCGGGTCTTCTGGCCCTGGAAATTTCTTCTCCGTGCTGGGGGGCAGGGGGTGCCCCCCCACATAATATGCCAGGTTGTCGCCCAGGCTAGGAAGCCAGATTCCTTAGGGAGCCTCCGTTCTGGAGGGACCCCGAGTGAGAATCGTTTTTTTTATTTTTTTTATTATTTTTATGAATAAAATTCGAGTGAACTTTTTAAGGGTTACTGCCCCTTCCGTGTCTGTTATCTAGCCAGTGCGGGTCTTCTTGCAATGGAAATCTCTTCTCCTTGCTCTGGGGCAGGGGGGTGCCCCCCACAGCCTGAGCCAGGTTGTGGCCCGATCTATGCAGCCACATTCCTTAGGGAGCCTCCGTTCTCGAGGGACCCCGAATGAGATTCTTTTTTGTATTTATTTAATTATTTTAATTAATAAAATTCGAGTGAACTTTTTAAGGGTTACTGCCCCTTCCGCGTCTGTTATCTAGCCAGTGCGGGTCTTCTTGCAATGGAAATCTCTTCTCTGTGCTCGGGAAATGGCCCCCCCCCCCACACACACACACAGCGTGAGCCAGGTTGTTGCCCGAGCTAGGCAGCCAAATTCCTTAGGAAGCCTCCGTTCCGGAGGGACCCCGAGTGAGATTCGTTTTGTTAATTAGTGATTTTAATTCGAGTGATATTTTTAAGGGTACTGCCCCTTTCGCGTCTGATATCTAGCCAGTGCGGGTCTTCTTGCAATGGAAATCTATTATACGTGCTCAGGCTAAGCAAGATTGTGGCCCGATCTAGTCAGCCACATTCCTTAGGCAGCCTCCGTTCTGGAGTGACCCCGAGAGAGATTCGTTTTTTGATTAAATTAATACAATTCGCAGTGACCTCTTTATGGGTACTGCCCCTTTTGCGTCTGTAATCTAGCTAGTGCAGGTCTTCTGCCCCTGGAAATCTCTACTCCATGCTCGGGGGCAGGGATGGGGGAGGGTGCCCCCACAGCCTAAGCCAGGTTGTGGACCGAGCGAGGCATCCAAATTCCTTAGGGAACCTACGTTCTAGAGGGACCCCGGTCGAGATTCGTCTTCTTAATTTAATTATTTTAATTTATAAAAATTCTAGTTTACTTTAAAGGATTTAAGGGGTACTGCTCCTGCTGCGTCTGTTATCTAGCCAGTGCGGGTCTTCTGGCCCTGCAATTTTTTGCTCTTTGCTCGTGGGATGCCCCACAGCCTGAGCCAGGTTGTGGCCCGATCTAGGCAGCCACATTTTTAAGGGAGCCTCTGTTCTGGAGGGACTCCGAGTGAAACTCGTTTTTTATTTACTTATTTTAATAAAACAAATTCGAAGTGAACTTTTTCGGGTAACTGTCACATCCGCGTCTGCTATCTAGCCAGTGCGGGTCTTCTGGCCCTGCAATTTTTTGCTCCATGCTCGTGGGATGCCCCACAGCCTGAGCCAGGTTGTTGCCCGATCTAGGCAGCCAAATACCTTAGGGAGCCTCCGTTCTGGAGGGACCCCGAGTGAGATTCGTTTTTTTTTTCTTTAATTATTTTAATTAATAAGATTCGAGTGAACTTCTTAAAGGCACTGCCCCTTTCGCGTCTGTTATTTTGCCACCGCGGGTCTTTTTGCCCTGGAAATCTCTTCTCCGTGCTCGGGGGCAGGGGGGTGCCCCCCACAGCCTGAGCCAGGTTGTGGGCCGATCTATGCAGCCACATTCCTTAGGGAGGCTCCCGTTCTGGAGGGATCCCGAGTGAGATTCGTTTTGTTATTTGGTTATTTAAATAAATAAAATTCGAGTGATATTTTTAAGGGTACTGCCCCTTTCGCGTCTGTTATCTAGCCAGTGCGGGTCTTCTGGCAATGGAAATCTATTATACGTGCTCAGGCTAAGCCAGATTGTGGCCTGATCTAGGCAGCCACATTCCTTATTATATTAATTAATAAAATTCGAGTGAACTTTTTAGGAGAACTGCCCCTTCCGCGTCTGTTAACTAATCAGTGCGGGTCTTCTGGCCCTGGAAATATCTTATCCGTGCTCGGGAGATCCCCCCCCCCCACACACACACAGACTGAGCCAGGTTGTGGCCCGAGCTAGGCAGCCAAATTCCCTAGGGAACCTCCATTCTGGATGGCCCCGATTGAGATTCGTTTTGTTAATTAGTGATTTTAATTAATAAAATTCGAGTGATATTTTCAAGGGTACTGCCCCTTTCACGTCTGTTTTCTAGCCAGTGGGGGTCTTCTGGCAATGGAAATCTATTATACGCGCTCAGGCTAAGCAATAGTGTGGCCCGATCTAGGCAGCCACATTCCTTAGGCAGCCTCCGTTCTGGAGTAACCCCGAGAGAGATTCGATCTGTTATTTGGTTATTTTAATAAATAAAATTCGAGTGATATTTTTAAGGGTACTGCCCCTTCCGCGTCTGTTTTCTAGCCAGTGTGGGTCTTTTGGCCCTGGAAATTTCTTCTCCGTGTTCGGGGGATGCACCCAACAGCCTAAGCCAGTTTATGGCCCGATTAACATTTGCATGCATTCACCAGAGATTAAAAGAGAGGTAAAGGACAGTTATCAAAAAAGAAAAGGGGCACTGGTCCTATGTAAAAAGGGGAAAAGTCGGGGGCACAGCCCCCCCCACTGGAAATTCCGCCACTGGTATGACGGGCAACAGTAAGTGAAAAACCCGGGAAAATCCTGTCATTTCAGCAACATTTGTAAATCACTGGTATCGAATTAGAAATAAACCACATTTGAATTTTATTTGGGAGGTTAACTCCCCCCCCCCCCTTATCAGTACGCCAGTGAACTGAACCAAGATAGATAATTACAAAACAAACACATCATAATCAACATACCACTAGACCACCTGTCAATTCATCATACACATTGAGAACAGGAATAGATTGTTTTTTATAGTTGTTTTAAAACCATATTATTAATCTTAACCCCGCCGCCTACGCCTATAATTTCATGATGAAGATTCGGACATTCATATTATGTCGGACATTTGTATTTATTTCGGGGGGGGGGGGGGAGGTGTTTTGGGGGTAAAATATAGCGTCTTGTTAACAAAGTAAATTGTCATAAGTTTGACTCTCAGTTAAGGGGGGGGGGGGCAAGATTTCCCACAAGGGGGACAAATTACGATAGGATTAATTGTGAGTTGTTTTTTTGTAATCACTGGAGCGGGGAACTATATTAGCTAGTTTATGGGGATGTCTCTATATAATTATCAAAGCTAAAAAGAAAAACATACTTTCAAAAAGACAGGGGAGACCACCGTTCGCAAAATGCCTTACGGTCACAAAATCGTATCTTATTTGGCTTAAAATCTTGAAAATCTAACTTCGTGCAATATTGCATATTTACGACAAGATTGAATATTGTATAAAACCCCCTCTCTACTGCTTCATTCATGTGCTGAGGGTTAGAATAATGACCCTTTTCTCAACTTATGAAAAGCGGTCCTTATGAATAGCGGTCCTCATAAAAAGCGGGGGGGGGGGGGGAGACACATGTCCTTTCCCATTTATGTCTACTATAATTTGAGCTTTCGCACTAAACAATTATTGTGAACTGTATATCAAGCTGAATGTGTATGTTTAATTATCAATAATTGTTTGACTTTGTGTTGCTCATCTACATCGTGTTTTGTTTTTTAAACACTAGTCATAAACTTCACTTTGAAATCTCAAGTCACAAGGAATTGAGATTTACCCAAAGGCATTTAAGAGCAAAAACTGTTCCTACCTTGTTGCACAACATTTGAATGGCCCGTAGCACTGTAAAAAGTCATCAAGAGTAGAGTGGTCCATCATAAAAAGGCGTCCATCATTCCGTGCCTGCATGTGTTCTCACTTTGATGTCTGGTCTCCTAGATGTCTTTCATTTTGGGATGTAACATCAACTGCAATCGCCTATATAGCTGCAAGCCAGACTCATTCTGAAAATTAAAAAAAAACAACGGAATGCTTCTGTCTTTATATCAAAGTATATCCCTTTCACATGCCTCGATTCAACTATTTAAAATCCTTAGCAGTCCAACGAGACCAACAACAAGATTTGTGAGGTCCCAGTCCAAAAAAATTACATCTTATAAAGACGAAAACATTTCCTGATGAGTATTAAGTACAATTTCATGAAGAAAGACTGAAAAGTTCTTTTATAAGTAACACAATTATAATATCTATAAATACGAGTGAGCGTAGAGAGCGAGCTCTAGGAATAATTTAAATTAGGGGTGCATGTTAAAAGGGAAAAGGACAGTTATAGAAAAGTAAAAAGGGCAATTATCAGAGCATTCAGGGGTGACAATGGCACGTCTTGCACCTAAAATTTTGCAGTTTGAAAAGGTGGAGGGGCTCATATAAAAAAGGAAAAGGGGCACGTGTCAAAATAAAAGTAGCATTCAAGAGAAAGTGGGTTTTATTGTGAAGGGGTTCTTATTGTGAAGGGGGTCCTTATTAAGAAGGGAAAGTTACACTTAGTAAAAAGAAAAAAGGGGCACGAGTCAAAGTAAAAAGGGGCAAAAATATCAGAGGTGAAAAGCGGAATTTCTCGCACCTGAAAAGACGTACTCACCAGAGATGAAAAGGACAGTTATTAGAAAAGAAAAGAGGTACTTGTCCTATGTAAAAAGGGGCTTTTTGCGGGTACCTAAAAAAGTGGGTGGCACAGTGCCCCCCACCGGGAGTGCCGCCTCTGGCAAAATGGGCACAAATGAGAGAAAAAACCCAGACAATCATGTCATTTCAGCAAAATTTGTAAATCACTGGTATCGAATTTGAAATAAACCACGTTTTAATTTTATTTGGGGGGGGGGGGGTCAACTGCCCCCCTTCCCCATCAGTACGCCAGTGGGTGAGGAGAAAAATTTCTCTTCTGCCGGCAGAGGAAATTTGTATTTTCCATTTGTTTCTTTGATTTTCTTCTGATAAAAATGATAAAGATGACTAATATAATATGTAAAGAGTTATTACTTTTTGGATTTCCTCATAATATTTGGGTACTATTTCCCTTATGTTCATAAAGTTATAGTGATAAGACTTTTTGGAGGAGCGTTTTGCAAGCATAATTTGTCAGACTAGACGAACAAAAAAATTATTACAAATTGACAAAATCGTACAACAGAAAACTTAATACAATATCATATGTCATGGGCCAGACTGGCGATGTGTGCATATTTATATAGGCTAAAATATGACAGCCGTTTAGCATCGGTGGCTTTGAATTACAATTTGTATGCAACATCATATCCATTGTATAACGGCAATTGATGCAATAGCTCGGACAGGTGTCACTCTGACATAACTATTGCCATATAATACAAATGTAAAATGACGACAGCCATGGAAGGGTGTCTAGCATGTAAAAAGCAGACCATTCTCATTACTCAGGCCAAATCGAACATGATTTTCAAGATTGTTTGACTGTCTCACATTTTCGGATTAGATTATCTCGTTTGATTGCAGTCAGGAGGATGTTAATGAATATCTTTTATACAGAGTTAATTCCCGTTATGGCTAGATCCAAACAGACGGTCTGTTGTCGATTATAATTTCAAAATAAAGTACAATATTCAGTTTACGTTCATTATTTTACAGTTGTAGGTCGATTACTTTCTTCTTGGAACAACTTTAGAATACCCCACCACTAAAATTGACCAAAAGCTCGTACGGTACCAAAAACTTCACCAATGAAGCTTAATTTCAAGACTTAAGCTTTTTAAGTAACACTAAACCTAACCATAACGGGCTAACCCTAACCCTTACCCTTACACTAACCCTAACCCTAGGCCTTCATCGTTCATGTACATAAACCCCATTTCCTGCTAACTCAATTTAGTTCTTTCAAAACATATAACATATAAAATTTGACTTACAGGTCCCTCTTATTCGAATCTTGTTTCTCCGCTGCACGATGAATTTCTGTATCGCCTGCTTACTGTAGTGCCCAAACGTTCTGTAGACGAAACACACCTCCGTCCTTCTTGAAATACCTGTCATTTTTTCCTCTTATTGGTAGATTTACATTTCTAAGAAAGGTGAAAACTAGTCGTATATTTAGCAATGGATTCGTATGTGACACGTTCCTAGACGTATCTTCCCGCAGTGGAAACTCTACAAAGATGTTGTCCTTGTGCATGGTCGTGGCTGAACAACATTCCCTTTTGTATCACGCCATTCCTGTACCACCACATACAATCACATACTTTCACCTGCCTCAGCTATTGAGCTATTCAAACTTTCCCGCCACCCGAGCTCTTGTATCGCCTAGGTGCATATTACGTAATCGTTCAATGGACGCGCATATGTTTTCTTACCCTATACTCCAATCACACCGAGATCAACACTTACTAAATTTAAAGGCCCACTGCACTGCTTGTAGCTACTTGCGCCCTCTATACAACAAACAATGCCTAATCAGTGACCATTGGTCCCCCATGATCCTCTTTTTCTTATGTTAACTGAGAGCTGAGTTGATGAGATAACCACCTGTCCAGTGACCTTGTGGGGCGGTCTAATCCCTCCTGTAAACTATGGCAGATAAGCTTTAAAGTTACAATTATAGCCTAAATGGCGAAGGGTCAAACGGTCTGAAGTTGGTTTGAAGGTGTGTCTGAGGTTTACAATCTAGAGCAGGACAAGATAATCATCAACGATTTTAAAACACAATTTACATGGACAAAAATCTCTTTTTAAACGTGAGGGGGGCACATTTTGTTTTCCTGGCTAGCGTAAAAAGGGGGTCATCAGTAAAAAATTCTCACAAAGGACGTCGATAACACCAAAAAACAACAATAACAATTTTATCATGCGAGTCTTTTACTCAAAGAACAAGAATAAAGGTGAGACCGTTGTACCCCCTCCTCTTTGACGGGCCAAACATTTTGTTAAATTATTTTTTTAAAGTTTAATAGGACAATCATGTTTGGTTTGAATGATTTATATTTAGCAGAACGAACGACCAGAAATCATGGGAGTTATTGATGTGCCGCCCCCAAAAATTTTTTTTTATCGAATAGTATGAGGGACTTTTCCCTCTACCCCAGGATTTCAGCCCATGATACTTTAGAGTTGGCATTGTAGTTGCGTGTGCCAGGCACTTGATGACGCGCGAATGTCAAGGAGGGGGACGGCATCGGTATTACTTGATAAATGAATTGTGAAGGAACTAGGCAATCGAGAGGGGGTGGAGTAGAATTTTGTACTGCTTTCTTTCTAACGTTACATTCTCACTTTCCTTTCTTTTTCTCCCTCTCTTTCTCTCTCTCTCTCTCTCTCTCTCTCTCTTTGTCTATTTTCCTCTCGCATCCCCTCTTTTGATGGGGAGGGGTATTTTTTTCTATGTTTCGACATTCGATTAGGAGGGAACGTGCCCCCTGTAGATACGCCACTAGGACGAGAGGGTCGGAATGAAAATGTCTATAATTTGTTGATTTCTGGTAAAGCACTCATATCCACCAGGCCAGGCGCGTACGCTGGATTTTTCAAGGGGGGAGGGGGGTTTACATTTTTAAATCGGGCCGAAAATTTCGCAACGACTCAGCCAGCCGCTGAATAAGCGGGGGGGGGGGGGGGGGGGGGGGTAAGAGGACACTTATTTTTATTTCTTTTGGTCTCGAAATTTGAAAACTTGACATTTTGCTCCGTTGGGGGGGGGGGGTAAGGTCAACTTTTTTACGTCAGCTATTGGTACAATTTTATTAATTTTTTTATTAAAAAAAAAATCCAAAGGAGGGGGGGGGGGGGATTCCTCCAAAATACACACATAAAATATACCAAAGAGGGGTTCAACCCCCCCCCCCCCCCTGCGTACGCGCCTGCACCAGGCTCTTGAAGGGCTCGGCTACAGATTATGTGCTCTCAGTAGTCAATAAATATATATTCATTGCAAATGAACACATTCATGATATTCACCAATGCATAATTACTTGTATTTATCATATTATTTACATTCGAATTGGATTCAGAAGGGCTTTTTCATTTCAATCCCGAAAGTGCAACAAGTGTATTTCTGACAGAGAGAGAGAGAGAGAGAGGGGGGGGGGGGCATTAACCCTATTTCTACAGCATGTTATTGTATAGCCACGCACACACATTGGCCATGGAACATTCGTGCTGCATGGCTTGGGGTGCTGTAGAAATAGGGTTAAATGTACTGTTAAGGTTCTATAATGATTCAATGATGAAAATTCGCGATTGCATCAATTCGTTGAATTGCAGCAAAGTACATTCAAAATACATAGGTAAATATTTATTCAAAATGTATTCATACATATACAAATTTTAAATATATATATATATATATACAGTATAATACAGTACAAATTTAACAAAAAGGTATAAAAAGAATTAGGATGGCAATACCAAACTATTTGGGTTTTTTCGAGATGGCCAATCGAACAAATTAAAGTATAAATGAAATACATACGCCTTGAGCTTCTCGAGAGATGGATATGTTGCACTTTATAAATATTGTTATTAATATTATTATCATTACATTGCAGGACAAGTTTGACATAATTTTTTATTCCCAGTTTACTTTATAATAAACTTTACAATTTTTACAATTCAATACGTTTATTTCATTTCCACCAAAATACATTAAAAATCACATGAAATAATATACCGGTACATGCATATTCGAGTTTTGAAATATATATATTTATATATATATATATATATATATATATATATATATATATATATAAACAGTATAATACAGTACAAATTTAACAAAAAGGCATAATAGGAATTAAGATGGCAATAAAAAACAATTTTTTTTTCTCGAAATGGCCAACCGAACAAATTAAAGTAAAAATGAAATACATGCGCCTTGAGCATCTCTAGAGATGGATATGTTGCGCTTTATGAATATTGTTATTATTATTATAATTACATTGCAGGATATGTTTGACATAATTTGTTTATTCCCAGTTAACTTAATGATAAATTTTACAATTTTTACAATTCAATTCGTTTATTTCAATTCCACCAAAATACATTAAAACCACATGGGTAAATACATGAAATATATACGTACATATACGGGTTTTAAAATAAGTATAGATATATAGATGTATATATATATACAGTATAATACAGTATAAATTTAACCAAAAGGTAGAATAAGAATTAGGATGGCCATAACAAAACGAGTTAACCCAGTTAACTTAACAATAAATATCATAACATAACAAAACAAAAGGAATAGGGACACACAAACAAATACCTATACAAATCATACACAAAATACACAATGCAGTATAAAAAATAAAAAAACATGATGAAGATTTATTCAGTTGTTAATAAAAAAAAATCTTCAATTTTCGTTTAAATCTGTTTAACAAATTTATTGATTGTATTTCAGTATGGAGATGATGTCGAATGAATAATAAATCTTCTTTACTGACCATAACAGATACATATTCTTTATTTATTGTGTTATATAGATATACTGATGAATTGAATGCTAGCATTGCTGAAATGAGTTTGAGTTTGAGTTTGAAGTTTTAGTATCCAAACAAAAAGTATATAAACAAAAAGTACATCAATATAACAATCAAATGTGAATGTTGTGTAAGAGCTATTCGGGGTAAATATGGTAAGGTAGGTGTAAAGGTCGGAGTAGTGACCGTCTGAACGATGATGGTATTAGCTACGCCTACCTTTACCCCGACCAAAATTAATCGTGGCAAGTTGGTCCGAGTAAGAGCGTGTGGACAACTATTGGTGTAAGTGAAATATACATGATTGAGATATTTACTGCTGCAGGGATTAACTTACACCGACTAGCAAAACCCCGTCTGAACAAGACTAATGAAATGGCATTAAATGCTAATCGTGTCTGGTACTACTAACACAAAGTTCCCCATCTCATTTTCCACCTTAGAAATGCATTTCATTATTTTCCAAATTTCTATGTCACATAAAAATTATACAGTGGATAGACACAAAGCTTAGGAAGGATATGAATATTCACATTTTCATATCGTTCATTACAAGGATATCAAATACTTTGTATATATGTTTATACATGTATGTTCTTTCTTATTCTTTGTTATGAGTTTATGATCATGATTACTATTATTATTTTTCATTTCATTTCTTAAAGGTATTACAAAGTTTTGGGAAATTTTGAAAAATGGGTAGATAGTGATTCTTTACAATTTTAATATATTTAGATGCGCCTGTGGATGTATTAAAAACACCAAACATTTTAGCCCCTAAAATACTTCTGCTTTCGAGAAAAATAGAATATAAAGATTTACCGGTGCTCCCGGTAAATTTTGTTAAATTTCAAATAGCTCCTACGGCCGTACAATGGTAGCTGCGACCATGACAATCTCAGAGTATGTAGTTGTGGTATATAATTTCAGAACGATACTAGCTAATCAGTCAATTTTAGTCAATAAACATTGTTTTATAGCTTAATTAATATCTTGACCTTGAGAGGGAGCTATGCAACATAACATATTTATTATTTACAATTTCATAACTTCAGAGTCGATTTCGACCGCGACAACGATCACTGAATATTGTAGGATCGTATATGCTTCCAATATGTTCTTTTGAACCAAATTCATGACCCCATACCAAAACTTTGTATTACCTTTAAACTATTGTTCCTTATTATGTTTAACAGGGCCTCATTGAAGACCACCACTATTGGTGACAATAAGTCACCCTGTCTAAATATCAGAAATAAATAAGTCAATATATAAATTAATAATTATTAATTTTTTCAATTATTAACGTACCTAATAAATTTCAATCTTGAGATAAGGGATGTAAATGTAAACAAACCATGTGCTTTTTTGAGGATTCGGTAAAATTATGGATCATTTTCGGTGGGTGACGTAGTAAATATTACTGAAGGGGAGTCATTTGTCAGCCACCTCGGAGAATTTTAACAATAACTTTCTTCTACCCTGTCATCCACGTCTACATCATCTCTGCCATGTGTGTCTGAGCTGAGTAAATAGATGCGTGTACCTTTCTATTAAAAAAAATAGAATAAAGCCAAGACATTTTGTCACCGTACATAGAAAACACTTTTAACTATATCCCACGTCAAAAAAATCCTGCAAAGGGATGGCTAATGTGACATAAAATAACGTACCTAATAAATTTCAATCTTTAGATCAGGTAAGTAAACGTAAAAATATCATGTGCTTTTTTTAAAAGGATTCTGTACAATTATGGATTCTATTCGGTGGGTGTTGTAGTGACTATTAATACTGAGGGGGCATTTTTTATAAAACAAAATTTACATGGCTCCCTTAAAAACATGAGTTAGTCCCCAAATTATGTTACAGTTTCATGGTCTGTCTTTGTGGACGAAAGGGTGGGGGTATCAGCATTTCTGATGAGCCATTTCGAACAGCTGGACTGGGTCCCATAAAATAGTCCCACCAAGAGAATAAAAGAAATAGCAACGTGTTTTAATGATATTACGGGTATACCATGACGTTACATTTTGAAGCTAACAATATCGCGACATTCTCGCTACCCATTTGATATTTCAAGAGTTATTCAAGGAAAAGTTTTTTTTAAATTCCCAATCTTAATCAACGCCTTAGAAATGCATATCATTATTTTCCAGATTGCTATGTCATATTTATACAGTAGATAGACTCTCATGAAGCTTAGAAAGGATATAAATATTTACATGTTCATATTAATTATTTTAAAATTATTAACGTACCTAATGCATTTCAGTATTTAGTTCAGGGATCTAAATGTAAACCTATTATGTGCTCTTTTTTAGGATTGGGTAGAAGTATGGATTCTATTCGGTGGGTGTTGTAGTGACAATTTTTAATACTGAGGGGGGTATTTTTTATAAAACAAAATATACATGGCTCCCTTAAAAACATGGGTTACAGTAGTTCCAACAATTATGTTCCAGTTTCATGGTCCAACTTTACTTACAACAAAATTTACAAATTCTTCTTAATTGACATCGATATTTACCTCGTCTCTAATATCATGATGAGAAGAATCAGGGTCCAACGGTGTAGAAGAACTTATCGGTGCCTATAAAGGAAATGATACGATGATTGTCAATAGTAAAAGGGCTACCTCGTTAAACAAATTTGCGGAGGTTCCAAGTTCCAATTCATCTGAAATGTTTTTGTAGATCTTCCTGACGAATCCACTTTTCAGTTTACAGCTAAAAGAAATGGATGCTAGCATTCACCAAAATGCAAGCGGTTTTTAAATGTAGCATAGCCTCGTTCTCCTAAACCAAAATAGTCAGGGTGAAAACTTGTGACTAGCTGCCCCCTAGTGCTCTATTGCAAAACAAAACAAAATTACAAATATCTGCACATTCCTGTAAATATGTCTGGAATATCAAGGGAAGTCTTTTCAGATTCTGTTAAAGATGATGCAATGATTGGAAAAAATATTGTACACAGTCATTAATAAAAATTAATTCAAGGGTTTGGTGCGTGTTGTAGTGACTATTAGTGAAAGGGGTATTCTTATTAAACAAAATAGTCCCCAAATTATGTTACAGTTTCATGGTCCGTCTCTTACAACAACATTTGGAAATACTTGTTTGTAACATCAACAATTTTGTAACATCGATATTTACCTCGTCTCCAATCTCAAGATGAGAAGAAACAGTGTCCAACGGTGTTAAAGTACTTTTGTGTGCCTATAAGCGATAGGAAATGATGATTGTCAATAGTAAAGGGGCTACCTCGTGAAACAAATTTACGGAGAAAAAGTTCTGGTTCATCTGAAAGATATTTATAAATATTCCTGAAGAATCCTTTTTTTACAGCTAAAAGAAATGGATGCTAGCATTGACCAGAATGCATGAGGTTTTTAAATTTAACATAGTCTTGTTTTCCAAAACCAAAACTAGTCATAATGAAAATTTGTGACTGGCTGCCCTCTGGTACTCTATTACAAAGCAAGAACCACTGATCTCTACACATTCCTGTAAATATGTCTGGAATATGAAGGGAAGTCCCTTCAGATCGTATCAAAGATGATGCAATGGTTGAAAAAGTATTGTACACAGTCATTGATACTAAAAAGTTCAAGGGTTTTAATTAGTGGACAAAGGGGTGATGACAGGTCACAGGTGAGCCATTTTGAACAGCTGGACTGGGTCCCAATCGAATGTTTTATGGAGACCTATATTCATTGGCACAAATAATAGTAGCTCATCAAGTGTATCGACTGTGAGGATCATAATTACCATATTTCACTCCCATTCATTTTTAGATGTTATATTGGGTTCTAGGACACCTACCTCCTGGACATCCACCCCTCGATAACCACCCCAAGTCAACTACCCTCTAGGACTACTACCCCTAGGGCAACCATCCTCTAGGACGACTACCCCCTGGGACAACTCCCCCGGACAACTACCCCCAGTAAATTACCCCCTAGGACAACTACTCCCTAGGTTAACTACCCCCGGACAGCTATCCCTTAGGACAACTACCCCGGACAACTATCCCCCGGACAACTACCCCCCAGACAACTACCCCTTATGACAACCACCCTCTATATAGGACAACTACCCCCTGGACAACTATCTTAGGGGGTAGCTGTCCGTGGATAGTTGTCCTAGGGGGTAGTTTTCCGGAGGTTTTAAATGTAATACTACACACATTTTATCAGTCAATATCTGCACAATATTTGAAACATTTCATAATTCTCTTATTTCAGGTCAAAATTAAAAAATCCAAAAGAAAATGAAGCCTGAAGTAATTTTGTCGACAATAACAAAAATATTTATAATTATCCTGTAAGTGAAATCTTATCAACAACAAAAAAAGCAACAAAAAAAGGGAACTTTCTTACCTGTATGCTGGAGGCACTAGCGATTCCTGCACGTAAATTCCGAATTCCTGAAGAAAAAGAAACATTTCATGGTATTGATCAGATTAAATTCCTTCTTTTTCCGAAACGTGATGGGGTTCTGCAAACTAAATTAATAACTTACACACTGAACGGCTGGGATTTAAATGTGTAAGTTCCCTTTTCCAAAAAATATATATCGTTTTTATTTTCGGAGTATTTGCGTGACATGAAGTTTGTAAATAATAATCAAATAAAATCCAATTAATTTAGCAAGTGAAAATGTAAGCCAAATTTGATTCAGATCTGATGTTTTCTGCGTATGCCATAGGTCTGTTGCCCCCTTCATTAACAAAAGTAAGAATAATAATACAAAAATGAAATTTGAATGAAGTCCATAGCACATGTAATACCCCCTCCCCAATCCCCTCCGATATTGTAAATATCCCTCCCCCCCCCAAAAAAAAAAAGATAAGATAATAAATAAATAACAATAATAATCATAATATTAATAGAATATAAAGGATAAAATAAAATGAGATAAAAGAAATAATTTGAAGAAAAAATGAAAACATTAACATAAAATGTGGACTTTACAGTTTACAATCTCTACATAGAAACATTGTTAACATTTCTATATACATTTTACATTTGGGATGGTCACAATGTTTCAGTATTATATTTTCCATTTATTTTTTTAGAAAACAACATTGATATGACTTGGATTCTGATTTCAGAAATCCTGAGGGCAGCATTTATATCACTGTGCAATCTTACAAACAACATGAAGACTGATCATAATCATTCAATGTAAAAAGCTTTTGCGAAGGTAGTAAAACAAATGTCCTTACGTTCCCGGTACTTCTTAAAAAGATACATGGTGTTGATGATGATGATGGTGGTGATGAAGATAAATGCTAAGCATTTGACGATGAAAGCTATTGAAGAATCTTCAGCAGGTTGCGGTGGTATCGTTGAAGAAACACCTGGAGAAGTGGTGGATAGTCCTACCTCTTGGTCTAAGGATAAAGCATGCAAAATAATCATGAATTTATCGCTATTTTATCTTATCAACGTTGAAGCTATTATACATGTATTCACTGTATATATGATTTGTAAACATTATCGATACTGCTCAGTTATTTCCAAATCTTTGACGATATGATTCGGTAGATCTTTATGAATGCCACCTCAAGGTGGGTTATTTATTTTGTTGGTGTTGATTTCATCGTTTTTCTTCGTCGGCTTAATCAGTAATGCTGTTGTTGTTGGGTTTGAATGGGGGTGTACTGTTTTCAGACCAGGGCCTGATAAAACATTTCCTAAAACAGAGATGGTGGCGGGCGATAAGTCAAATATGGCGGGGCATCGCCGTTTTACCATACCATTTCTCTTTATCTATGAATTTTGACAATAAAAATAACTATCTTTTCCATCCTTTCTTGTCTTGTCTAGTTAATGTGCATACCCATTCCTGTGACAATGTTTGTTTTTTCTTCGAATATTCTCCATTGTCTTCTTTCCATTCCTCCCTTCTCATATCTTTACCCCCTTTCTTTCTTTAATTCATTGTTCCTCCATTCTACTATTCTCTTTTTTATCTGCTTGTAAATTATTTATTCACAGGGCCTATCCAAAACAAGCCTTGTTTTACTTTAGGCCAATCCACTATACATAGCCATATAATGCATGTTGAAACGTTTAAGTCTATTTATTATGTTGCAATTGACTAACAAGAATGCTTTACTATCATCATGATTATCATGATTATACTGCAATATCTTTAGACAAACTATTTGTATTGTTTAATATACTAATAGAGGAATTTTGTTATGTATTTGAAATAAAAAGAATAATGTGAAATTCATAACAGATGAAAACAAAAAATAGAAATACATGTAGTTGCTAATTTCACGTAATCAAGGTAATTATAAATATGACAGTACAGTCAGATTATAAATTAACGACTTATGAAAATGAAATGCACATACAAGCGTGCATAAGAGTTATCTTGGGATGACGCTTTTGAAGTGATATGATACTTAATTAATTATACCTGTAACAGATAGCAGTACATGGCCACGTTCCTTAATGAAGCGTACAGTCGCCACTTTACAATAATAGACTCCACTGTCTGTCTTCTTGAGGTCCGTGATCGTTAAACGTGTAGCATGGTTGCTGCCCTCATATCTTGTATCGTTTGTCCATGGGGTATTACTCTTGACTTCGAGAGAGTAGATAGTGTGATCGTTTTTCCTCCAGTACACGTACGTCCATAGATCGTCGGGGACAAGGGGACACTCCAAGGTTACATATGCTCCAACGGGGACAGTTTTCTCTGTAGAAAGAGAAAATTATATAGATCTAATGTCATTTCTATTATATGCTTTTATACATAGCTAATTTTTTGTTCATCCCCACTTGCCATTCATTTTGGTTCACAAAAAAATCTCGTGGCTTACAGAGCAAATATTGTATTTTTTATTCACCATGTTCAGGATTAAAAGCGTATCATGCAATTCATATATTTCCAATGAAATACCTAAACATACCAAGAACAAATTCATTTCCTGGCTCATTCAGAAATGCAGTGGTAGTAATAGTTTGACATTATGCATTATGCTAGAGGAGTTGCCTTTAACTACGCGCATTGCTATGAGAGTGGTCCAAACCAAGGGTCCAAAGAGAGGGTGGGGGGAGGGTGCTCAAAACAATATGATACAGTGAGAGAGAGAGAGAGAGAGGGCTTGAATTTATGTATTTACTCAGGCTCCTACCAACAATGGTCATGTTACAATTGTGTTACAATCTTACTTATTACATTTTGTAAAACATGCATTAAAAAAATCAACATACCTGACTGAGAGGCCTGTCTTCCAATTGGCCCTCCCACCGTCAAAGCAACTGCAAACATACAGATCATGCAGGTAATGATGCCGACTTCCATTGTGTCATTCCTGTAGTATGTAGAAAAAATATGATCATCATATATCTGAACAGTAGCATAACAGGCAAAGTGGTTCTGGGCCGAACATCTTGTCATCAATTCAGTTTAGAATTTATCCCTAATTTCATGAAGTCCACTAAATCTTCTCAACCGTCATGCACAATTTGTACTTTTGTTATTGATATTTTCATTATTATTAATCATTATTATTAATCATTATTATTATTATTATTGTTATCATTTTTTTATCATTACATTTTTTATTAATATTATTATTATCATCATCATTATCATCATTATTATCAGGTGGGCTGTATCTAATACAGACCACCTTATATTTTTGTTAAAATCGCCTTTATTATTTATTTATTATTTATCAGGTGGGCTGTATAACGTACAGACCACCTTATAATTTCGTTAGAATTGCCTTTATTTATTTATCAGGTGGGCTGTATAACGTACAGACCACCTTATAATTTCGTTAGAATTGCCTTTATTTATTTATTTATTTATTATTTATTTTTCTTATTTCTAACCACTTTTTTGTTGGCAGGATAACTTGAAAATGGCTCAATCAAAAGCCTTGAAATTTAGCACACATATGTATAGGCATATGTACAAAGCACAATAACGTTTTCAACATTAAACATTACTGATGACGTCATCTAGGCGCCATTTTGTAAAATTTTACGAAAATCAACTTATGATCATATCTTCATAACCAAAAGTTATTTCTCATTCATATTTATCATGATCAAGGTCAATATCCGTCCGGTCAATTTCAGGTCAAAGAACGCGCGCGTGCGCGTACGTCCGCGCGTCAATGCGCGCGCAAAATTTTAAAATGCTCAAAATCGTCTCAAAATCATTTTGCATACGTTTGAGGCCATTTTAAGCATTTTATAAAAAATCGCGCACACGCACATGCGCGCGCGTTTTCGCGCGTAAAACTATTACACAACATAGAATCGCCATTTTTTTTTCTTCATAATATTCTACATATTTTTTTACAAACAAATAGATGCCATGGTTGTTTCTTTATGACTATTAAAAACGGAATGATCGACCGTTAAACAAAATTTCCGTGCGCGCGAGCTCTTGTAATACATAGCATATATGGGCAAAAACATGCCTATACAAAATACATTGTAGCTCTTTAGAATGCAAGGTGACGCCAATTTTTTTCATATTTTAATAGAGTATGATTCGGAGATATTTGTTCATGTCTCATTTGATCCTCAATTAACTCATGACGTCATCATAATGGCCTCCGAACTCAAAATTCCAATTTGCATATTATGACGTCAGCATATTTATAGAAAATTGATTGTATCTCTGTAAATATTGATCGATTTTCTTCCAAATTTTGATACGTTCTAGCTGAGACAATTTTCTACAGATGCAGTTCTAATTATTCTTTATTTTGACAAAGGCATCATGGCGTATTTTTGCGATTAAAGGAGGCATGTCAATTTTTCACATTTAGCGTGTATTCTCTATGGGACATGACTTTTTTTCAAAACTTGATTCTACATTCCCGTCTTTCGCGAGCAATATCTACGTCGTTTTAGCTTCATTTACGCTGAACTCCGAATATGTTGTAGCTGAGACAAAAAGCTATTTCAAATGTACCCTTTATTTTGTCTCAATTTTTTGTTGGATCAGCCCACCTATACTTGTTCCAAACAAGTATTACAAATCTAGTCAGGTGGGCTGTATAACGTACAGACCACCTTATAATTTCGTTAGAATCGCCTTTATTTATTTATTTATTTATTATCAGGTGGGCTGTATAACGTACAGACCACCTTATAATTTCGTTAGAATTGCCTTTATTTATTTATTATTATTAAATATTTTTCTTATTTCTAACCACTTTTTTGTTAGCAAGATAACTTGAGAATGGCTCAATCAAATGCCTTGAAATTTGACACACATATGTATAGGCATATAAATATATCAAAATAACGTTTTCAACCTTGACCTTGACTGATTACGTCATCTAGGCGCCATTTTGTGAATTTTAACTTATGATCATATCTTCATAACGGAAAGTAATTTCTAATTCATAGTTTGCACGATCAAGGTCAATATTGGTCCGGTCAATTTCAGGTAAAAAAACGCGCACTTGCGCGTACGTCCGCGCGTCAATGCGCGCGCAAAAATTTAAAATGCTCAAAATCGTCTCAAAATCATTTTGCATACGTTTTAGGCCATTCTAAGCATTTTATAAAAAATCGCCCACACACACGCGCATGCGTGCGGCGCGCGCGTTTTCGCGCGTAAAACTATTACACAACATAGAATCGCCATTTTTTTTCTTTCATAATATTCCACATATTTTTACAAACAAATTGATACCATGCTTGTCTCTTTATGACTATTAATAATGGAATGATCGACCGTTTAACATAAATTTCCGTGCGCGCGAGCTTTTGTAATACATAGCATATATGGGCAAAAACATGCCTATACAAGATCCATTGTAGCCCTTTAGGATGCAAGGTGACCCCAATTTTTGGGTCATATTTTGATACAGTATGAATTGGAGATATGATTTCATGTCTCATTTGACCCTCAATGAACTCATTACGTCATCATAATGGCCTCCAAACTCAAAATTTCAATTTGCATATTATGACGTCAACATATTTACGGAAAATTGATTGTTTCTCTGTAAATATTGATCGATTGTCTTCAAAATGTTGATATGTTTTAGCTGAGACAATTTCTACAAATAAAATTGGCCCAAATTTTGATTTTGACAAAGGCATCAGGGCGAATTTTCGCGATTAAAAAAGGCATGTCAATTTTTCACATTTTGCGTGTATTCTCTATGGGACATGAGTTTTTCTCAAAACTGGATTCTTTCGCGAGCAATATCTCTGTCGTTTAGCTTTGTTTACGCTGAACTTCAAGTATGTTGTAGCTGAGACAATAAGCTATCTCAAATGTACCCTTTATTTTGTCTCAAATTTTAGTTCGACCAGCCCACCTATACTTGTTCCAAACAAGTATTACAAATCTAGTTATTATATATTTTTCTTATTTCTAACCACTTTTTTGTTGGCAAGATAACTTGGAAATGGCTCAATCAAATGCCTTGAAATTTAGCACACATATGTATAGGCATATGTACAGAGCACAATAACGTTTTCAACATTGACCTTTACTGATGACGTCATCTAGGCGCCATTTTGTAAAATTTTACGAAAATCAACTCATGATCATATCTTCATAACCAAAAGGTATTTCTCATTCATATTTATCATGATCAAGGTCAATATCCGTCCGGTCAATTTGAGGTCAAATAACGCGCGCGTGCGCGTACGTCCGCGCGTCAATACGCGCGCAAAATTTTGAAATGCTCAAAATCGTCTCAAAATTATTTTGCATACGTTTTAGGCCATTCTAAGTATTTTATAAAAAATCGCGCACACGCGCATGCGCGCGCGTTTTCGCGCGTAAAACTATTGCACAACATAGAATTGCCTTTTTTTTTCTTTCATAATATTCCACATATATTTAAAAACAAATTGATACCACGTTTGTCTCTTTATGACTATTAATAACGGAATGATCGACCGTTTAACAAAAATTTCCGTGCGCGCGAGCTCTTGTAATACATAGCAAATATGGGCAAAAACATGCCTATACAAAATCCATCGTAGCTCTTTAGGATGTAAGGTGACTCCAATTTGTTTTCATATTTTAATAGAGTATGATTCGGAGATATTGTTTCATGTCTCATTTGACCCTCAATTAACTCATGACGTCATCATAATGGCCTCCGAACTCAAAATTCCAATTTGCATATTATGACGTCAGCATATTTATGGAAAATTGATCGTAAATATTGATCGATTTTCTTCCAAATTTTGATATGTTCTAGCTGAGACAATTTTCTACAAATGCAGTTGCTATTATCCTTCATTTTGACAAAGGCATCATGGCGTATTTTTGCGATTAAAGGAGGCATGTCAATTTTTTACAAAGTTGCGTGTATTCTCTATGGGACATGATTTTTTCTCAAAACTGGATTCTACATTCCCGTCTTTCGCGAGCAATATCTACGTCGTTTTAGCTTCATTTACGCTGAACTTCGAGTATGTTGTAGCTGAGACAATAAGCTATCTCAAATGTACCCTTTATTTTGTCTCAATTTTTTGTTGGATCAGCCCACCTATACTTGTTCCAAACAAGTATTACAAATCTAGTTTATTTTTCTTATTTCGACCCACTTTTTTGTTAGCATGATAACTTTGTAATGGTTCATTCAAATGCTTTGAAATTTAGCACACATATGTATAGGCATATGGACATAACACAGTAAGGTTTTCAACCTTGACCTTGACTGATGACGTCATCTAGGCGCCATTTTGTGAAATTTTCTGAAAATTTACTCATGATCATATCTTTATAACCAAAAGGTATTTCTCATTCATATTTATCATGATCAAGGTCAATATCAGTCCGGTCAATTTCATGTCCAAAAACGCGCGCGTGCGAGAACGTCTGCGCGTCAGTGCGCGCGCAAAAAATTTAAATGCTCAAAATCGTCTCAAATTTATTTTGCATAAGTTTCAGGTCATTTTAAGCATTTTATAAAAAATCGCGCACGCGCGCATGCGCGCGCGTTTTCGCGCGTAACACCATTACAAAACATAGAATCGCCATTTTTTTTCTTTAATGATATTTCTCATATTTTTTCGAGGAATTTGATACCATGTTTATCTCTTTATGACCTTTAATAACAAGATGAGCGTCAATTCAAGATAAATGTCTGTGCGCGCGAGCTCTTTTAATACATAGCATATATGGGCAAAAACATGCCTATACAAAATCCATTATAGCTCTTTGAAATGAACCGTGACCTTCAATTTGTTTTCATATTTAGATAGAGTATGAGTCGGAGATATGATTTCACGTCTCATTTGGCCATTAAGTGTATCGTGACATCATCATAATGGCCTTGGAACTCAAAATACGTATTTGCATATTATG